TTCCAAACGTAACACCCCAATCAATGCAATTCCAAACGTAACATTTCAATGTAACATAGTCCAATTTAACACACAAAAAAATACTAAAAAACACATTAATGTACTGCTTCAAAACATAACACTCATAGTTTAGAAATTATATATTTATCCAAAAGTTACTAACGAATTTATGTACTCCTTTTGAAATGGTTTGAAGAATCCCACATCTTTTTTTTTGGAGTGTTACATATTACGTTTGGGAACACTAACGAGTTTTTTTGTGTATTACATTAGAGTGCTATACTAACGAATTTTTTTGGAGTGTTATATTAGAGTTAAAGTTATATTAAGGATTTTTTTTGAAGTATTACATTGGAGTGTTACGTTTGAGTGTTACAGTTTTAAATTTTACATTTGCGCAAAACTTACTAAGGAGTTTTTGTACTTTTTTTGAAATATTTAAAGAATCACATATCCTTTTGGAATATTTGAAAGATCGTATATTTCAAATCATTTTTATACTCTTTTCAATTTTTTCCAAATAAAAAAGATTCTCATATAAAATTAATCCCAAATTTGATTCCTATAGATTGTGTACTTTATCTTTCTAACACAAAAGAAAAAAGTGAAAAAAACATAATGGGTATAACCGTAAATCTAATTTCTAAATAATATATTAAATCTATATTTCTAAAATCATTGGCACTAATTAGTCTATAAGAAAATTCTTGGGACTAAATGAATCATCATTCTTCAAGATGTGATTTATAGGTAAATTTTTTGTTTATTTAATTTAATTTATTTATTTTTTTTTTGTTATGACCAATTCAAATACTGAGATTGAGATCGTAAACGAAAATGTTGTAGTATGTTCAATAGTGAAAATAGTAAAATTTTACTGCCTACTAGAGCAAAATTTTACTATGTATGAGTAAAAAAAATGTCAAAGTAGATAAAAATTTATAGTCAATTTTATGAATAAACTAGAGTAAACTTCTACTGTCATTTATAAATGGATTATCACCAAACAAAATCAGAGTAAAATTTTAAAAGTAGACAATAAAGTGTAAATAAATTTGTTTGTCTCATAAAGGACACACGTCTTTTAAAATGCTAAAATTTCACAATAAATTTACTGTGAATCATAGTAAAATTTTACCATTCACGTTAATTTCAATAGTAAAAGATTTATTAATTTTTTTCAAGAATTTTATTGTCAACATGTATCTTATTTGATACAACTTGAAGAGATGATTCTAAAATATTAATTTTATTAAAACCTAATATATAGATAAAAAAAAATATATCATTTTAAAGTTTGAAATATGAAATTAGTTAGTAAGAATAAGATTGTTCATAAAAAAATGAAAATAATTTTTTTTTGTCTTTCATGAATGACCTCTTTTTCAGGGGTTTATGAATTTAAAAAGTTTGAACTGTTATTTTTACTAAAAAGGAACCTAAGAGAGGGGTTTTGACCAAAATCCTAAAAAAATTAAGTTGATAAATTATTAATACTAGCAGCCACATAATTTTTTTTTGATCGACAAAAATTAGTTATTAATTGTTAGATTATCACTTCGGAGAAATTAAAACTCACACCTATATACCTTGCAAAAAAATCTTATCCTCCCATTTCACTCCTAAGAGTAGAATCCAAGACTTCTTCCTTAGGAAAGACTTAGGGCTTGTTTGGTTTGTTTTTGAGAGAGTTGTTTTTGAAAAAAAATTTGGAGGGAGAGTTTAGAAATTTTTTTGGTTTATTTGGTTGTATATTTTGAAAGTAGTTTTAGAGTTTGGGAGTTTGGGATGATTTGATATTTTGTTGTAATTGAGTAGATGTGTGTGAGAGAAAAAATGATTAAGAATGAGAGAGGAGAGAGAAAAAGTGATTGATTGATGTGTTAAAAAAAGAAAGTGATTTTGAATTTTTTTTTTAAAAAAACCAAAAACACAAAATTTAAAAAAAAAAAATTCAAAAATAACTCTTCTAAAAACAAACCAAATAAGCCCTCAGTGACCAAAGGACTAGTCAACTAAGTTAGAGACCCTTGGTTTAGAAGCCACATAATTAAATCACATTTGCTTTAACAAAATTGATAATTTATTCTCGAAATCATATTTGCCTTCTATGTTTTTTTAATACAAGTATAATTCAGTAATATTACTAGGTGGTGTTTGTTTTAAGGGATTGAGGGGTGGGATTGGACTATTAGTCCATCCGAACTAAGGGTGTGTTTGATTGGACGGACTGAATAAGGGGGGATTAGAATCCATCGGACTTGAGTCCTGAGACTGTGAATCCCCCAGACTATTTGGTTGGATTGGATTGTATCCTGTGTTTATTTTTTCATGAGATTAGATGTCTGGAAAGGAATTTTTTTAGTAAATTCAACGTTTGGTTGGACGGACTGGATAAGATAAATGAACGAAAAACTATTTTACCCTTTTTCAATTATGTACTAAGTAATAGCAATATTAAACATATCTTTAATATTTTAATTATTTTTAGCTTATTTAAATTTTATTTTATTTTTTTAAAATTAAATAAATAAAATATCAATAAAAATATATGTTATTTTTTTAATTAAAAATTTAAATAAATTTGTTTTTAAAAATAATAATAATAAAACAATGAAATTAAATAAAACATCTATTAACATTTAAATAATGAAATTGAATAAAATATAAACAAAATTTTAAAATAAAACATCAATAAAATATCTATAAAAAATTATTTAAAATAAATAAATAAAACATCAATAAAAAGTTAAATAAAATTATTTTATTTTTAAATTGAGACATTTAAATTTTATTAAATTTTACTAAATATAATACATAATTAAATAGTAGAGGGTCAAAATAGTCATTTCATTATCTAATCCCAACAGTAAATAATCCCCCCCAAATTGTCCCACACCCCACTCCCCCAGGATAGTATAATCCCCCCATATGGGGGATATGGAGTCCGGCCGGACTCCATGTCCGCCGGGCTAAAAAAAAAAAACAAACATCGAATTGGATGATTGCTCCGGATTACAATCCGCACAGAAAATAATCCCTCCCCTTATCCCCCTAATCAAACACACCCTAATAGTTCAATGTTTGGTTCAAAATTTTTACATCAGACTATTAATCCCTTCGGACTATTAGTCACAAATCCATTGGACTATTATGTCCCATTGAGGTTTGGGACACATATGGAGGGATACAGAGGTGGTGAAATAATCATTTTGACCCTCTACTATTTAATTATGTATTATATTTTTTAAAATTCAATAAAATTTAAATGTCTCAATTTAAAAGTAAAATAATTTTATTTAAATTTTATTGATGTTTTATTTATTTAATTTTTTAAAATAATTTTTTATAGATATTTTATTGATGTCTTATTTTAAAATTTTGTTTATATTTTATTTAATTTCATTATTTAAATTTTAATAAATGTTTTATTTAATTATTATTATTTTTTAAAATAAATTTATTTAAAATTTTAATTAAAAAAATAACATATAAAACAAGTAAAGCAAGCATACAACAAGGGTTTTACCCTTGGTTGGATGACACTGCTAAAAAAGCTTGAAGTCCTCGAGGACTCGCCCCTCAGGAACACCGACGTCATTCCTCTTCCATTCCCTCTAACTCCAAGTAAATCTGACGACGAATTTGAGTCTGAGGAGGAGACCTTGGTGAGGAAACCAAAGGAGACTGCTGGAATCAAGTCCCCTTCTTTGAATGAGCAGGTCCTGGACTTGACCCAAGATGAGGAGGGTGATGAGGTGCCCAAGGAAGCTAACCCTGAGCAGGCATCATTGGACGTGCTTCTTGCTGACAAGAGCCTTGATCAAACTCCTCAAGAAATTGATGCTGAGCTTGCGGCCGAGAAGGCGGCCGAGATGTCCTCCCAACAGTCTTCCGAGGTCCAGACCCAGCTTGCCAAGGAGCCTAAAGAATCTTAATTTTGGTGTCTTTTTCCTTTGTTTTTCGCCTTTTGTATTTCTTTGTTTTTAAGACAATGTAAACTCTTCGTATGGCCGATGTGCTTTCTTATGAATACAACTTCCTTTTTTTTTGAATGTTTGTATGTTTGTCTTCCCCTTATTGCTCTTGTATGACTTTCATACTTAGAATAATTTTGTGTTTTCAAAATGCTCCTTAGTGTTGTGCAACCTTCTCGGGGTGAAGCACCTCGGTAATACAAACTGATGATTTACCTCGACAAGTACCCAAGTACCTTTCTTAGCATAACCTTGGTTTCAGCTTGTAAATTTTTTCATAAAATTTCAACAAGTGTTTTACCTTAGTTTAACTTCAACTTTCTCTCTCCTCTCTTAATAATGCATAAAATTATCTGTCATAATCAATGTCACTACAATTTTACTGCAATAACAATGAAAACATAGTAAGTTAGCAACATGAGGCTCAAATGCAAGTTAAAGAAGTTAGAAATAAGCCACATTTTTTTTTTGAATTTTTTAGTGTTTAATTTTTTTTATATTATGTCAAAAAATTTCATTTTTCCGGTCCGTATGTGTGAATGAATCTAAAGTGCAATTTTTTTTTGAAGTTCCAAATTTGTTTTTGAAAAAGAAACCAAAAAAATTCACTATGTTTTTACTTTTTTTTTTGCTTTTCTTGATCTTTTAGAAATTTTTAAATTTTTAAAATTTTTTTGATTCATCTCGTCGGAGTAAAATATTTTTTTAAAAAAATTCACTAAAAAAAAAAATAAATCAAACAAAAAAAAAAACTACAAAAAAAAAAAAAAAAAAAAAAAAAAAAAAAAAAACAAAAAAACAAAAAAACAAACAAACAAACAAACCTCAAACACCCACTATAGCAGTATCAACAACAGGTTAACATAAATTTTTATATCTACAAATTTTTACTCATCCTCCAAATATATATATATATATATATATAATTTATAATTATTTTCTAAATAGAAAGAATTCTACCTAAAATACATGACATTTGTTGAGAGAGAGAGAGAGAGAGAGGAGAGGGGATATAGTATGGCTTTTGTGCTTTGATTGATTATAGTAGAGAAAGGGTTTGTTGGGAGCGAATGGGGAAACACCTGAAAGGTTTGAGTTGTTGGTGTAAGTGTGACTTCACGTGCTTACCTTCTTCCTCCAATTCAATTAGATGAAACTGAAACCTTGACACCTCTATTTAAGACAAACCTAGAAAGAAACTACTCACTCACTTACAACCAAATAAAAAGCTTTATTAAATTGTTTTGGATTGTGGGTATCAAGATCTTCATCTTCTTCATCCAATTCTTGCTTTGATCTTTATAAAAAGTGAAGCCATGGAAGCCCAACCGACAGCTCCGAAGGCCGCATGTGTTGTTGGTGGCACCGGCTTCGTGGCGGCGACGCTCATCAAGTTGTTGCTTGAGAAAGGCTATGCGGTCAACACCACTGTCCGCGACCCAGGTTAGTCTGGAATTCAATTTTGTTCACACCTACAATAACAATTAGATTAAGATATAATTTTTGATTGATTTAAAAATAGTAGGTACTATTTAAGTTTGAGTGGGTCGAAATATTTTGAATAATGGCCTATTATATTTGGTGAAGTCAAAGAATATAGTAATAGATTACATCGCATAATAAGTCCTCGTTTGGAAATAAATTTTTTTTAGTAATGTTTTATAATTTTTGATTAAAATGTGATGTAAAAAATTAATTTGTTTGAAATAATTTTTTAATTTTTTATAAAAAGATATGTAAAAAGTAAAGTGAAAAAGTACTCTTTGATTTTCTGGTATGAATTGTTGACTTTTTGATTTTTTTATTAATTTTTTAATTAAAAAAATCACTTACCAAATGAGACTTGAGAGAAGGTTATATCTGATTTTATAATTGATAACTGTTATTAATTGTAGACTATTTATAAATTATATTTTGTTTATACACTTATTAGTCAGTGTCAGGAGAGAGAAAAATCATTTTCAGTTGTTCTCTTCCTCCCATTTCATAGATTCGGAGTACCTGCAATTTTTATTTATTTTATTTTGCTTTTGTCCAAGTGATCATTTTGGCACTTTTCATTTATTCCCTCAGCTGGCTATTTAAAGAGTCTTTTTTTTTTTTCATTTCAAATTTGTTATTATTATTTATTCTAATATATATATATATTTTGCGCGACTAAAAAAGACTGAGAAACCAAACAAAATATCACCTGCCCAACTATTCTTCGCACAAATGTAGTAGTTGACTCGTCCTCACTATGTTCTTTTAATTTGTACTTTTTCAAATATTTTAATTGTGGATAAATTACAAACGCACATATACGGTTTATTTATAATATAAATTATCGGTTGTAATTTTGAAAATTAACAAGATTTTTTTATTAGAATTTTTTATTTAACAAAATTAACCAAAAAGAATTCTTAATTCCTCTGCTATAAAACAATAAAATTATTTGAATTATTAATTGAATATATTTTTGACATTATTAAAAGCTATTCATTGACTTGATGATTTATTAATAAAATGCGTTATTTGTTATGCGATTAGAAAGTTGAAGAGGTGAGATGTAATTTTAAAAAATTATAAGGGCCAATGTGTATTTTAAACAAATTTCAGTAGTGGTAAATTAATTACAATGATCACTTTTGAGATTTATAAGAAATACAAATAGTTTTATAATTTTGATATAACTATACAAATTTTCTTTTTAATAAGATTAAAAATGTTAAAACTATTACAAATAATATGAAGGTAGAAGAAATAAAGAACTTATATACATTTCAACGTAAAACAATTGTGAAAGTTACAATATTTTTTTAAACCTGTAAGTTCAGTATATTCTATCCAAAACTTTATTATTCGCGGCCTTATTTGTCTAATTTATAAAAATTTGTATGTTTGCCCAACATTTTTCCATTACATGTTGTGAAGATAATAGAAGTGTGGGCCTTCAAAAAATTTAGGAAAAATTATATATCAGTTATGCTTTTCCAAAATAATTGCATATTCATAGAAGGTTTATAAATCTGAAATATTTTGTAAAAGTACTATTGATATATAATTTTCCCAATTTCTTCTACAAGGGCCATCTTTTGGTGAATGAAGGTCATTAAGTTTTGAAATTATTATTTAAAAAATAATATTTATTACCAGATGAATTTCACATATTGAACGGTCCTTCTCAAACCATAACCCTAGCCTACCTAGCCTGGCTCGGCCCGAACCACCTACCAACTATTTCTAGGATAGGAATGGTTGGTGGCAAATTGATTGCATATAAATTTTTGGAGTCGGTTGGGTGGGAAAAAAAAATAATAAATGTTAACCCAACCTGTGAGCACACCTAGTTGCAATATGGTGGCAAAAGTCTAATTGACTATTTTATCCCAAGGAATTTGGACATGAATTTTATTTATTTATTTTTTCACTCTCACGCAGGCAATCAGAAAAAGACCTCTCACCTTCTAGCACTAAAGGGTTCAGGCAACCTAAAAATCTTCCGAGCAGACCTCACCGATGAACAGAGCTTTGACACCCCTGTAGCGGGTTGTGACCTGGTCTTCCATGTCGCTACACCGGTCAACTTTGCTTCCGAGGATCCAGAGGCAATTTGCATTGTCATTAACAATAACAATTGTGACAACAAATTTTTATTTTTTTGACAAATTAACATGGTTTTATCTCATTTTTAATGTAGAATGACATGATAAAACCAGCAATTCAAGGAGTAGTCAATGTTCTAAAAGCTTGTGCAAAAGCAGGAACGGTTAAACGTGTCATTTTAACATCATCAGCAGCTGCTGTATCGATCAATAAGCTCAATGGGACCGGCCTGGTCATGGATGAGAGTCACTGGACTGACACCGAGTTTTTGAATTCTGCGAAGCCGCCCACTTGGGTAAAATTGTGTCAAATTTTTAAAATTTTTGGATTTTGAATGTGTATTTTCTAGATGATCTGGAAATAAATTATGTGAATTTGCAGGGGTACCCTTTATCGAAAACACTAGCTGAGAAAGCTGCTTGGAAGTTTGCCGAAGAAAATAACATTAATCTTATCACTGTCATCCCAACTCTCATGGCCGGTCCGTCACTTACTGCAGATGTCCCTAGCAGTATTGGTCTTGCCATGTCCTTGATCACAGGTATTAATTCAGAACCTGAAGTTAACAAATTGTTGTTAACGACTTGAACTTTGAACCATAGTTTTAAATAGCGGTATCAGCCAGTGTAATCATCTGAGTCAGCCAAGAACTGATGAATTTTTTTCGAACATTAGCAAAAAAAAAAAAAAAAAAAAAAAAAACTCTTTGATGAGCATGTTCTAACCTGATTTGTTACAATTTAAATGTTTGTAATGATTTTTAATCAACATCATAGCACCTAAAACACGTTTTTGCAATAAATACATGTAGAAAGGTATTTGAACTATTTACAATAACTGGAAATGCTACTAAAAATAAAATTGATAATCCATAACAACAAAACAAAACATAATTCAACATATGTTGGTAGTACAATGATGCACATACTTATTACACTTCAAATTTTCGACATTGTGCAGGGAATGAATTTCTCATAAATGGGTTGAAAGGTATGCAAATGCTGTCAGGCTCAATCTCCATCTCCCACGTGGAGGACGTTTGTCGTGCCCACGTGTTTGTGGCAGAGAAAGAATCGGCCTCTGGTCGATACATTTGTTGCGCTGTCAATACCAGTGTTCCCGAGCTAGCCAAGTTCCTCAACAAAAGATATCCAGAGTACAATGTCCCTACTGAGTAAGGCCCCTTCTCTATACAACATATTCGAGTCTTATCTGTTGCGTGATGCAGTTTTCCCTTCTCTCGGGAAATTTCCCATCATATATTAGCATCAATTTTCAAAACTGTCTAGTTATTTGAACTTATTTTCGCTTGGTTGATTGTAGTTTTGGAGATTTTCCATCAAAAGCGAAGTTGATCCTCTCGTCTGAGAAGCTTACCAAAGAGGGATTCAGTTTCAAGTATGGGATCGAAGAAATTTACGATCAATCTGTGGAGTACTTCAAGGCTAAGGGGATTTTGAAGAATTGAAAGCATTAATAGTGTACCTATTTTGGCTATTTAAAAAAAAGGCTGTGTTATTATTGTTCACTTGACGATGTGGTTTTGCTTGGTTTGCTTGTATGCATAAATATATAATAATTAACAATATTTGGTTTTGGAGATCAGTTGGGCAAATTGTTGAAACTCAGTTATCAAAACATCTTTGATTTGATAGCCTTGTTGAAATATCCAAAGCAATAAACATTGTTACTATGTTGATTTAGATTGCTTTTTTAAATGCAGATTAGACCATGAACAAGGAAATAAAACAGAAACAGAGGAAGGTAATAAAACTAGAATGATAATAAATAAACAAATAAATAAAGATACTTTGTGTGTGAGTGATTTTTCGATCACACTGTCAACTTGGTTATTTAGCTGGAGAGTACTGGCAGAATAGATGACACCTGGCTCACCTGCAACAGAAAGAGAAGATTCCGGCAGTGGTTTGTCCACCCGAGAGCACTCCGACGATCAAGTCAGTATATCTCTCAAAGATAATCAATAGTGCTAAACTCCATGTTCAGAACATGAATTGCATACCTTAGACCCGTAGGGGGTGCCTCTCTTTTATAGTTAACTCCATCCTAGTCCCACTAGAAGCCTAGCTTTAATGGACTCTTGCTAAATGCTCATCCAGGACTCTTCAATAGATAAAGATAAAACTCCCTTATCCAGGCTGAAGTCCTTCCTCATTCAAGGACTCGAGGACTCTTATCCCTTATCCGCTTATCTCGGATTCCGATATCTTCGGAGATAACCTCGGCGTCATAACCTGGACACGTGGCACCTCGGCTGACACGTCGGCGTCACCTTCGTCACGTGTTGGGATTCAGAAAATATATCCCCACAACTGCCCCCTAGGTTCTATTACCTCAGCATCCTGAGGTGATGGAACCTATATTGGTATTTCCTACTAGTACACCGACTTCAGCCGAGATCATCATTATAAGCCGACATGTCTCTGTAAGGTTAAAAGCTTCCAAGATCTTCTTCACGCGTATAAGTTGTCATCTATCACAATTCAATCGTTTCAGCCACGTGTACTTCTCTTACTGGATCGCACTTGTGACATGCCTGTAAGCCGTCTCACGCCTGCGTGCGCCGTCTGACGAATCCGTTGTTCTAGGCTTATTAATTTTGTTCTGCCGCCGTTTCAAGTTTTAATAAAACTTTTTCCCCCTCTTCCATCTTTTCACTTTTCGTTCAATCCTCTAGCTTTTTCTCTCTCTAGCTCTTAGCTTTCTCAAACCCTCCATTGTTCAAGCTTTCTTAGCTCTGCAACTTGCTCTGTTTACCACTTCCAGCGAGATTTTCACCGATCCTTCGTCTTCCCAACCATTATCAGACTTCGGCAATCCCCATTCCGGCTTCCATTTTCCTAGTTAGCCGCTGTTCCTTCTTGTTTTATTTCTTGTTGCTCTCTAAGAAGTTTTACTTCATTATTTGGTCGCCATTGTTGTTTTACTAAGTTTTTGATTTATGAATCTTGTACCTGAGCGTATTTATTTCACAACCTTGCTCTTTGCCCATGTCTTGAATACACGCACTGTTCACAACTTTTTTGTACCTTTGCCACTGTTCTTGATTTCATACCCTTTGTACTTGCGATGTTCTTGATAGTCCATCTTTGTTCTTGAATCTGAATCATATTCTTGTTTCTGTTTGCCGTGTTTTTCCAGATTCTCGTCTTCAATCTTCGCTTCTCATCTTCAATATTCGCTTCCATAGATCTAGGTTTGTAGAACCTACAAATTTTAGGAAAAACTGAGAACGATCCCCACAATTTCTTACCCCACAAATTTTTAGGTTTTTGCCGAGGTCCCAATAACCCTTTTTCTCATTCTGAAATCCATCTTTTTCTCGTTAAGCCGACATCATGGGTATGTGGAAACATAGGGTAGACACCCCGAGTAAATTAGAGCACTTTAGGCAGGAGTTTGACATCCTGGCCGACGTCCATCTGAGGTTGGCTGGGGAAGACGACTCTATCATGCCCACAACTGACTCCATGCCCTTCCCTGTCATAGCTTTTATTGAGTGCGGACTCCGACTTTCACTCAACATCCTTTTCCGCGAGATAACCCACTACTATAAGTTGAACCCAATGCAACTTGCCATCAACTCCTACCGAGTTATTAATGGCATCATAGCCTTAGCCAAACAAGAAAACGTTAGAGTTACTTTAGCCGATATCCAGTTTTGCTATACCATGTGTGGTCTCAAAAGAGATACAGGCTACGTTTACTATCTTAAGCCGAGGTCCACGAAGTTCAAAATCGTAGCCGACCTCCCAGACTTCAACAAGGGAGCTGGGGATGACTATTTCATTACCTCGGGGAACTGGGAGTTTGCTCCAGGCAAGGACCTCCATCTCTATCCTCTTCTTCGAACAGTTTTTGTAGAGGGCAATGGTAAAAGCCCTACGTTCATACTTACTTGTTTCCAAAGTCTTCAATACTTTATCTACTTCTAACGTCTGTTTTTCTTGCAGCTCTTTCTCAGCCACCAAAGGGCTTCCATCAGTCTTTCTGTCCCAGCAAAGACTTGAGGAAAATTTTGGATCTGCCAGTTCTCAAATGGAAGGCCCCTCTTCTGCTTAATTTCATTCCAACGTATAAGTCAGCTCTTCCCGACGTCCCTAAGAAGAAGAAGAAGAAGAAGTGTCTGTCTCCTCCTTCTGCTTCAACTCCTCAGACTACCTCCACATCTCGGCAAGATCAAGGATCGACCTCTGATCTAGTCGAGCAGCCGTCAACCTCGGCTCCTTATCTGATCCCAATATCCCAGTGCCAACGTCGGCGACGAACTGTTTTTCCTGTCAAGATGGGCCGCCAGAAAGCAGTTGCCAAAGATCTCTTGGCTAGCATCCCATCAACTACTGACGCTCCACCAGCGCAATCTCAACCTCCACCAAAGCAAAAAAGAATAAAAAAGGCTCAGCCAAAGGCAAAGGTGACTCATATTGATACTGAGGACACTTTGTCAATTTCCAAATTGGCTGAGAGCGAGAAGACCGCCTCTGTCCCCGAGAAGAGGTCTGCTAAAAACACATCCATCCAAATCCATCAGATCCAAAAGGCCGAGGTCATCTTCTGCAACGACCTCGGGGTCTCAAAAGCATGATGCCCCCTGGGTCCTCAAAATCACACTGGAGGATAAACCAGTTAGGGCCAATGATAGTGCTGAAGATATTAACGTCGGCGTTGCCCTTAGTACCACTCTCCTCCTTCCTGGCGATCTTGATCGGAACGCCGAGCTGAGTGAATATGAAAACTATACCCTGATGCTCCAGCGCTCTATCCAAGTAAGTGTCTTCATTTGGTTATTTTTCTTTCTTTCTTGTACTTAGAAATTTTCTAATAACTTTTGTCTTGTTCATTTTTAGGCCATTCAGCATGCTCATTCCTTCTCAATTCAATCCCTTGAGAACCGGAAAGAACTGGCCGATAAGAGGAAAGAAGTTGCCAGTCTGCAAAAGGCCAACAAAAGCTTACAATCAAAAATGAAGAAATTGGAAGACCAGGCCGAGGCTGTCATCAAAGCTAAGGACGATACCGATGAAAAAGCAGGTGCTGCTGAGGCCATTAACAAGGTTCTTGAGGCTCAAAGGAAAGAGTCTGAGGAAAAGATGGCCCAAGCCCAAAAAGAACTTCAGGATGTCTTGGCCACGAAGGACGCCGAGCTCAAGGCAGCCGATGAGAAAGGCTACAATGAGGGTGTGGCCGATGTCATAGTGGACTATGAAAAGCAAGTAAAGCAAGCATACAACAAGGGTTTTACCCTTGGTTGGATGGCACTGCTAAAAAAGCTTGAAGTCTCCGAGGACTCGCCCCTCAGGAACGCCGACGTCATTCCTCTTCCATTCCCTCCAACTCCAAGTAAATCTAACGACGAATCTGAGTCTGAGGAAGAGACCTTGGTGAGGAAACCAAAGGAGACTGCTGGGATCAAGTCCCCTTCTTTGAATGAGCAGGTCCTGGACTTGACTCAAGATGAGGAGGGTGATGAGGTGCCCAAGGAAGCTACCCCTGAGCGGGCATCATTGGGCGTGCCTCTTGCCAACAAGAGCCTTGATCAAACTCCTCAAGAAATTGATGCTGAGCTTGCGGCTGAGAAAGCAGCCGAGATGTCCTCCCAACAGTCTTCCGAGGTCCAGACCCAACTTGCCAAGGAGCCTGAAGAATCTTAATTTTGGTGTCTTTTTCCTTTGTTTTTCGCCTTTTGTATTTCATTGTTTTTAAGACAATGTAAACTCTTCGTATGGCCGATGTGCTTTCTTATGAATACAACTTCCTTTTTTCTTGAATGTTTGTATGTTTGTCTTCCCTTTATTGCTCTTGTATGACTTTCATACTTAGAATAATTTTGTGTCTTCAAAATGCTCCTTAGTGTTGTGCAACCTTCTTGGGGTGAAGCACATCGGTAATACAAACTGATGATTTACCTCGACAAGTACCAAAGTACCTTTCTTAGCATAACCTTGGTTTCAGCTTGTAAATTTTTTCATAAAATTTCAACAAGTGTTTTACCTTAGTTTAACTTCAACTTGTAAACTTTTCTCAAGTTTCAACAAATGTTAAACGTTATCTCGGTTTAACTTCAACTTGTAAACTTTTTAAGTTTCAACAAGTGTTAAACATTATCTCGGTTTAACATCAACTTGTAAACTTTTTACAAGTTTCAACAAGTGTTAAACATCATTTCGGTTTAATTTCAACTTGTAAACTTTTCTCAAGTTTCAACAAGTGTTAAACATTATCTTTCTGCTCTCTGCCCCCTAATGTGAACCTAAGTTCCACTTGGGTTCTCATTATACATATATTCTAGAAATATCGGCGAGTATCTTATCAGTCATAAATGTAGAAGAATTCTGCTAAAATTTTATTCATTACGTCGGCAAAAAACAAGGGAAATCTAATGATAGAAAAATTTCATATTACAAGTATTCCAGGGTCTTGACAATTCTTTGCCCTTGTTATCTTCAAGCCGATAAGCCCCATTGCCCAATATCGAAGTAATTCTGTAGGGTCCTTCCCAATTTGGGCCAAGCTTGCCCTCTTTGGGATCCTTCTTGTTGCCAACGACTTTTCTCAAGACTAGGTCGCCGACTTGGAATTCCCTGGGGTTAACCCTTTTATTGTAAGCCCTGGCAAGCTGCTGCTAGTATGCTGCTAGCTGAACTGCAACTCTCTCCCTTCTTTCTTCTAGTAGATCCAGATCTCGGGCTAAGAACACATCATTAGTCCCATTCTCTACTCCCTGGGTTCTGATTCCTGGGATGCCGACCTCTAGTGGAATGATAGCTTCTGTGTCATAAGCCATGGCAAAGGGAAATTCTCCTGTTGATCTCTTCGGTGTAGTCTGATATGCCCAGAGTACACTTGACAGTTCATCCACCCATTTTCCTTTTGCTGCTTGCAGCCTCTTCTTTATTCCATCCAGGATAACTTTGTTGAATGCTTCTGCTTGTCCATTACTTTGAGGAAAGCTTGGGGTTGAAAAATAATTCTTGATCTTGCACATAAATTTTTCATTAGCTTGTTGTCAAATTGTGTTCCACTGTCGGCAACTATTGCTCTTGGAATCCCAAATCTGGTAATGATATTTCTCCATATGAAGTTCTTCACGTCCACATCTCGGATCTTAGCCAGGGGCTCAGCTTCTATCCATTTGGTGAAGTAATCTGTTGCTACCAGCAAGTACTTCCTTTGTCCAGTTGCTTGGGGCAGTTGCCCAACGAGATCCATACCCCATTAGGCAAATGGCCAAGGACTAGATACTGGGTTTAGGTCTGCTGCTGGTTGGTGTATCAGTGGTGCAAACCTTTGGCATTTTTCACACTTCTTGACATAGGCCTCTGCATCTTTCTGCATGTAGGGCCACCAATACCCCTGGGTAATGGCCCGATGGTCTAGTGATCTGCCCCCGGTGTGGCTTCCACAGATTCCTTCATGTATTTCATATAAAAAATCTTCAACTTGTGACGGGTGTACACACCTTAAAAGGGGTCCGGTGTAAGATCTTCTGTAAAGATGTCCTTCTGTTGTTAGACTGAATCTTGCCGACTTTAATTTGATCTTGTGTGCCTCCTTGTGGTCATCTGCCAGCTTTCCTTCTTTCAGGAATGCAACAATTGCATCCATCCAGCTTGATCCTATGTCCACACACATTGCTTGACGCTCTGTGGTTAGTGGTTTGATGCTTGGGCCCGACAAGTAGTCAACCATTATTTTTCTCGCTTTTCCAGGTTGTACTGCACTAGCTAGGTTGGCCAATGCATCGGCGTGACTGCTATCATCTCGGCTAACCTGAAGTAGTCGGCAGTTCTGAAACAAGGCTGCCAATCTGATGACCTCATTTGCATAGGTCGACATACTTTCATATCGGGCTGCAAACTCGCCTGTTGTCTGGTTAACTATAAGTTGTGAGTCACAAAAGACTATTACCTCATCCGTTTGTACTGCTGCTGCTAGCTTTAGTCTTGCAATCAATGCTTCATACTCTACTTCATTGTTTGAGGCCTTGAATTCCAATCGAATGGACTGTTCCAATATCTCTCAATCTGGAGATACTAGTACTACTCTTGCCCTCGCTTCTTGTCGGTTTGAGCTCCCATCCACAAACAGTCGAAAGGAATTGCTGATGTAAATGCTGCAGGGTCTGAGTTTTTTTCTCTTTGCTTTGTTCTTTTGCCTTTGGTTGGGCTCCTCCTTGCTTGTTTGGACATCGTTCACCTTGGCTTAACGGAACCCGATGTTCGATGGATTCTGGCGTGAACTCCGCCACGAAGTTGGCCAAAACTTGGCCTTTGATTGCTGTTCTGGGTCTGTACTCTAGGTCATACTGGCCCAAGGCGACTGCCCATCTGGCTATTCTTCCTGTTAGGTCTCCTTATTGCAACAAGGACTTCAAGGGGTGTTCAGTTAGCACCACAATTTTATGGGCCTGGAAGTAATGGTTCAGCTTCTTTGAAGCCATTACTAAAGCCAGTGCTAATTTCTCTAAGGGTAGATACCTTGTTTTTGCATCGGCCAGGGTTTTGCTTACATAGTAAACAGCCCTTTGCTCCCATTTTTCTTCTCGGATTACTACTGCGCTTACTGCGTGTTCGGAAACTGCTAAGTATAGGAACAGTTCCTCTCCAGGTTCTGGATTTGAAAGAACTGGAGCTATAGTGAAATACTTCTTCAGGTCGGCCAAAGCGGCTTCGCACTTCTCGGTCCATAGGAAGTCAGTGGCTTTCTTCACTAAGTTAAAGAAAGGTTTGCACTTATCTGAGCTTCTGTTGATGAACCTATTCAGGGCTGTGGCCCTTCCAGTCAACATTTGTACCTGTTTTGCCGATGTCAGACTCTTCAATTCCAGGATGGCCTTAATCTGATCTGGGCTGGCCTAAAAAACTTACTAGATCCCATTCCAAATGCACACCTTGCTGCATTGAGTCGGAGCCGATATGTTTTAAGGATGTCAAAGACTACTTTTAGGTTGGCCAGATGACCTTCAGGTTCCTTGGTCTTCACGACCATGTCATCAATGTAAACTTCCACCGTTCCGCCAATTAGGTGTTTGAAGATCATAGTTACCAATTTTTGGTAAGTTGCTCCTGCGTTTTTCAACCCGAAAGGCATCACTCTGTAGCAGTACAGCCCTTTGGGAGTGATAAACGCAATCTTTTCTTCATATAGGGGGTACATGGCTATCTAATGGTACCCCCTGTATGTATCCAGGAAGCTCATCCTTCCATGTCCCGAAGTGGCATCTACCAGCTAGTCAATTTTGGGTAGAAGAAAGCTGTCTTTTGGACAGGCTTTGTTCAGGCTGGTAAAGTCTACGCAAACCCTCTATTTACCATTCTTTTTCTTCACTACTACTGTGTTTGATAGCCATGTCGAGTAATTTACCTCTCGAATGGCCCTGGCCTTGAGAAGTCTGTCTACTTCCTCCTCCACTGCTTCGACGTGTATCAACGTCAGTCTTGTTACTCGTTGGATTACAGGTTTGGTCGACCTGTCAACGTTCAGCTTATGGCAAGTGACCTCGAGGTCAATGCCAGGCATTTCGTAGGGCGTCCACGCGAACACCTCAATATTTGCTCTCAAAAAAGCTTCCAACTCTTTTTCCTCTTCTTCGGCTAGGCCCGAGCCGAGAAAAAAGAAGCGTTCTTCATCCCCCTCCTGGACGAGGATTTTCTTCAGTGCCTCTTCGCTCTTTTCGGTTGGCTCCTTGCCGACATCCTCTAGGACCTCTACGTCCTCATCTTCGATTTCTGCCTTTTCTGGTTCTCGAATGCTGCAGGTGGATTTCATTGCTGCCATGGAACAATTCTTTGCCTACAGCTGATCTCCTCTGACCTCCTCAATCCCATGTTCTATTGGGAACCACAATAGTTGATGTAATGTTGAGGGAACAGCCCCTATTGCATACAACCATGGCCTTTCCAAAATGATGTTGTAAGGGGAGGGTGTGTCGATTACGGTGAATTCTGTTGTTATCTTCCTGGTGTCTGCCTACACCTCCAAGCTGGTTATTCCCAGTGGCCATGTCGGCGTTCCATTGAACCTGACCATTGGGCTATTGGATTGCTCTATATCGTCTAGGTGAAGGCCGAGCTCCTTGTAACATCGGACGTACATGATGTCACAAGAGCTGCCTTGGTCAATCAGGATGCGTTTTACTTGGCATTTCCCAACCTGGAGGGATACTACCAAGGCATCATTATGCAGATGCTGCACCATCTCAAGGTCGGCTTCAGAAAAGGACACTACTGGTCCTTGGCATTCCTCTGCCCGATCTCTCTTCTCCCCGACTTGGTAGACATGCTGCAAGTGCTTCACCTTCTGGGTCTCCCCCCTAATTTTATTCTCGTTAACCTTCGAGTGAATTACATTAATTACCCAAGGTCACTGTGTTGGGGGAGGCGGAGCTGCTAGTTCCTGAGGCAGACTTGCCTGTTCTTCCCTTGTTCTAGCCTCATCGACAAGGTCTCTCAGATGGCCTTGCCTCACCAGGTCTTCCAAGTGTGTTTTCAGGGCTCTACAGCCCTGAGTCATATGCCCGTTTTCATTATGGTAAGCACAATGCTTGCCAAGGTTTCTTTCCATGAATTCTCCTGGTGCCCTCGCTGGTGTTATGAAAAAAGGGTTGATTTCGAATTTGATCCAGGACTTTGTGAATTGGGCTTCGAAACACAGTTGTCACTGCCTGTGTAGCCCTTAGTTCTGTCTCTTGCTTGCTTGATCCATTGTTACCTTGGCCTCGCTTCGGCGAGCCGTTTCCTTTCTCTTGCTTTGTCACCTTAGTCCCCG